ACAGGGAGAGCGTGCAGCACAACAGGGAGAGCGTGCAGCACAACAGGAGACTCAACTGTGCATTGGTGTTTTGAATAACCCAGAACACAGTCTGTTGGAAACATCATTTATCTAGAACTGTTAACAGTAGCACACAAGGGGATTCTGTCACTCAACATAATTCATAAGATAGTTGTTTGGTAGTACAAAACTTGAGTATTGCTGGAAAGAGACACACTGTCAAAGCTTAATAAAAGCCCGAAAGAGCTGCATATGCTGTAAATCAGGAACAAACACACAATTTGCTGGAAAATTGAACTGTTCTAAGAAAGGATCACCGGACCTGAAACGTTAGCTCTGATTTTTCTTCACAGATGCTGCCAGGCCTGCTGAGCTTTTTCAGCAAATTCTGTTTTTGAGTGCTGCTAAAGCTTCTTGTTTTGCACTCATCAGGACAATTTGCAGGAATTTCCAAGTTTTAAACCATACAGGTTAACAAATTTAAACAAAGCCTGGCAATTAACTGTCAGTTATTAACTAGTGCATTCTTCTTGGCAACACCTCTACCAGAGAGCATCTGCTAACTGATCAACACACTCCTCAGTATGAATGTTGGTTTCCCTCAAATTGGTGTCAATAAACTGTCTCGAGTGTAAAATGAAAAGCTTCAAACTGTCTTTTCAATAATTCATAGTAGTGAATCAAACTTAAGTGTTCCTCTGGTTTCCTGGTCTCTTTTTAGTTATGATATAATTCCTTGTATTTGCAGTTTTTATTTGCTTTATTAGGATTACAATGGATGACAAGGTTTGCAAGGGAGTGACTTCAATTCTCAAAAAAGTTTAGTGAGGACCAGGCACAAGTAGTATGTAAAAACATAAAATACAATTTAACATAACTTAAACCATAAATTAAAATCAATTACCTGTTCAATTTGTGACATGTTAATCCTCTAATTAACAATTTTGCCTTAATTACATTTTTTAAAAAATCTGATTACCTGAAACATTTACACGACAAACCTGTCCTTCTTACTCGCTGCTTAGTGGTCAGTCAAAAGTAATTCATGTATATTTTATAACGAATGGTGGCTTAATTACTAACCTATTACAGTTCTTAACCCACTTGCCTACTAGATTTACAAAGTTGTGAAGCACAAATAGCAGAACGTGGAAATTAAGGAATCTCTTCAAAATTGCAGGCTATGAAATATACAAACAAACATGCACGACTATTATATATCCTCCACTTAAGTTCATGGCAAGTCTTATAGCCTTACAATCAGCATATTTGCAATATAAAGACACTCATGCTTACATAGCTCTCTCCTTAAATCGCAAGTCCAAAGTCATCTCCTTAGTAGTTTTCACATGAGCCCATGGGGCAAATAAAAAGCAGCTGTGAGTACTCAGCAACGGTTTGCTCTCAAAACTGAACTGAATGCAATCATAAACTTGTAACAAATAAAGAAGATACTCAGCAGACCCCGTACCTTCACCACACTATTAACTCCATGATTTTATAATTATACATCACTTCCTTGAGGCTATCCCTGCAAGTTGATGCTTTCTGACTATGATGCTTAAGAAAGAAATATTTATTAAGGGCTTCTATCTCACTAAAGGCATATCCAACAATCTGTTCTAAAAATTCTGCTCATGTCAACAGTTATTACAAACTCCACACACAGCAACCGAGACGAATTGCACATTCTAAAAATAGTCAATTTTCCTTATCCTCCAATGTTAACTTCACAAAAAAGGTGATCAATTCTTCCATGGGTCATACCTCATGTACCAAGTTTTGTTAAAATTCATCCATCGGTTTTTAAGCGATATTGTTCACAGGCAGTAATGAAAACATTTCTCTGCCGTTAAAGTTATTCATTAGCATTGCAGAGATGCACGTCTAATGGACCACAGACATTCCACTTAAGAACAGAGTCTGAAAGTTGAACAAACTGTCCTAGAGTATTTCCAGAATATGCCAAAAAGAGCTATCTAGAGGTAGGATTTCAATATACAACTTTCTCTGAATTTGGATCTTAGAATTCAATAAAGATCCATTTGAACTGGAAATATGAACGACACAAATGCAGAGTATTTGCTAAATACAATACAAGCGCTTTGTAGTATGCTCAGTCAAGATTGGATTGACAGCATAATTGTTATGAATCCATACTCAATTGTTGCATCAAATGTCAAAAGCTTCACATTAGGTTCTCGTCTGCAAATCTTATAAGAGATACAAGAATAAAAACACTTTAATACTGTCATGGAAACCTATTAGAATCTAAGCTAACTGGCTTGATTACATAACTTATGTATCTATATGCTGTAAGACTATCAATTGATACTATCTCAAATAAATGAATGATCGTCAGTCGAGTTACGTTTTTCTACTTCATGTGAACATAAATTGCTGAAAGCAAACATTTTGTAATTGTGCAAGATTGGGGGTGTGGGGGGGGAGAGAAAATGCTATAACATTAATGAAAATAGAAATACAATCACAAACTGAACTCAACCCTAAAATTTCACAGCAACCTGTTTATAAAAAGGTTTTCATTCCATGGTGCAGTTTCTCCAAATAACCACTAAGTGGCACATACGCCCCAGGCTAAGCCTTTCATTGTGGAACAGATTGATAAATACATGCTCACCAAATGCACGTTGCTGTCAAGGAGGTGAGATCGTGAATTTTAAAATGGTAACATCGAGAAACATATAGAATTTACTGAGTTTCCTCTGTAATTTAAAGGAATTCAGATGATTTTTGGCTGAAGTAAAGATGACCTATTACACTTAGCAACTTCTAGCATTGACACTAAATATTATAGTGCTTAATCATAACAAAAGAAAAAATATATAGACTTAATATATGACAAGAATGTCAAGCATGGGGTCTTCCAATACTCAATGCATTCTCAGCCAAGTTTATAAACGAACAATCATAATCCTCATTTACAAAAATGCTCCAGCATATAGCATGCAGCTCAAGACTACAATGAATATACAAGCTACTTTGATCTTAATTTTTATGGTTATTTAACAAATATTTTTGTGCAGTTGGTTGTCTGCTCATGACAAATGTAACAAAATATGGCAAAATTTAGACTTTAGATTAACCTGCTATTGTTTTATAAAAACAATCCAAGACCACAAATAACAAAATTACGTACCATTATAAGCCTTTACTAATATGATCCGTTAGCTCCACAAATGAAAACACATGCACAAATCAGTCAGCTGATCAGAAACTTCAGAAAATTCAATCTACAACCTATACTGTAGCAAAAGCAATAGCAACTGGAAAGCCTTTAGATGCTGCATGTTGCCTATTTGGCAAAGGAAACAGACTCGTGACAATCACTGTAGGATCAGCCAATAACTAGCTGCCAAGTACGCTTTTTGAAGAGCAGCTATCAGCGGAGATTGTAAATATTTATTATCCACCATTCACTATTAATTTAACTATAGTGACTTAATCATGTATCAAGCAGGTTTAAAAAATTAAGATAAACAAATTTATACCTTGATACAAATCACAAAGGTTGCCTTGACTGTAGAAGTTACGAACAATGAACCAGAACATTATTAAAGGTTACAGTTTCTTTCTCTATACTTTTATTTTCAGCCAAAGATATAATTTCTTCCTTCCTCCAAGTGTCCTGTAAAACTGAAACTATCATCACTTTCAATATTCAATAGCAATAGCCTGAACTCTCAGTTTAGAAACATTTGGTAAACAGAATGACTTTTTAAAATTTAACAAAGCCATTAGAGAGGTCGCGTGTCTTTAAAAAAGAAAAAAAGTTCAATCCTTTTTAAATGCTTACACAAAATGTAAAACTTTCTAATTCAGTTTTAAAAAGGGATACCATGTTGAAGTTCTTTGGAAGAAAAGTAATTCTGTAATGACAAAATACAATGGTTTTCGTTTATGCCAATAATGGAAACAGACTGATTTGAGTAAAGAAAAAATGCATCACATTTATAGTCCATTTAACACAAATGTGTTTAATTTGGATTGAAAACCAAAAGTGAATGCCAAGATACCCTAGCCTGGCACATCAACGATTGTTCCTTGATTTAGTTCCAAACCAATGTTGTAAGTACCATGACAAAAGCACTGAAAAGTATCAGACTTATTAATATAATCCCTCCCTCCACATCTATCCATTCAGAATAGCGTGCCAAGCCATAAAAATCAACTGGAGGAAAGGTACTAGGGCAAAAAAAAGGGTATTCAATGGTGTCCAGTTAAAATATTCTCGTATGATCTTGGAGACCTCAAAGCCCATATCTTAACGTCCATTTTCCAAGCAAGCACATTGCGTGTGACAATAATTTACCAACTCTGGGCTAAAAAGTGATTTCTGAACTTTTAATTTTTTTGCAAATAGGTCAGATCAAATGTTATAAATTACAAACTAAACTGTTCCAGATTTTAATGATTTCCAAATGCAAGCTTAAACTAGCATGTGAAATACAACACAACTTCAAAAAAATGCAAAATATCTAGAGAAATTAACCACATCTCGTTATCAACCTTCAATAGATGAAGGTTGTATTCACAGTTCCTAACAAATATTTCATTATAGCATTTTGTTGCAAACACCTTAAAGCATTTACTGAATACACATTAAACACACACCCGCCCCAAGCCAAAGTCCCAAAAGGTGATATTCATACAAACAATTTCACTTAAAGAACATTTTTTTTCCAGTTGATTTAATCTTGCAGAATTGAAGAAATAACTTTAAAAGCTTTTTTAAAAAGGGGTGATCCAGCTACAAGTTGTGGTGTTTTTGGACAAAAATCAACATGGAATGATTAGACTCTCAAATCTGAATGCATATTCAGACCCCATAACTATTGATATTCAGTCTAGAGAGAATTAGCTTAATTCCCAGTTGGGAAAGGTATGAGAAGGCTACTAGGTTCCACAAGGTCATATTTCAGCATAAAAACAGCTAATCCTGTTTCTACTCTTCCTCATCAATTATCTTCAGGCTCCTACCTTCCTGACGTACTGGCTACTCCAACTTATTTGTCATGATACACTAACATAAATGTCTAGGTTCCTGCAACACTCCCCCAACCCCTCCATATTGTCCTGGCCTTGCTCTCCTTGATGTTAATTGCTTGTATTTCATGGTCTGCTTCCTCCCACTTGGAAGTTTTCTTTGACCTTCATAACACAGCTCTTTGTAGTTTAATGGTTATCTGCTAAAATGATGTAGCATCCTGAGAAAGCCTTTTGCAAACTGCCAAAAATAACAAATAACTTTGCCCACCTTCCCTCATCAAGCTGCAAACTCCACAAACATTGCCCAAGTTGCAAATAACTCCTAGCAAACATCCAGATAAACTGAAACCAATGCAAGTTCCTAAATCTCCATCCCCAGGACAACATATCATTCTAGAAAGGTATCCTGTATCCTGTAAGTTAAGTATTCCGCATTTAAAATTCTTTAAATGTTCTGATGAAAGAAAACAGCTATGACACCACTTCAGGGTATATTAAATCCTTTTAAATTAATTTGATTTCCACTCAAAATAAATCAATCCACACTGGCACTGCTGAAACAACTGCAGAAGTCACATCTCAATTTCTTTTCATGTTCACCACAACCCATAAGTTGTACCTTTCTTTTGCCCTTTTAGAAAATATACCATCACTCAACATTCAATTCATTCACAGCAAGCATGAAAACATATGACATGAAAAATGTCAAAATTCCACTGTATTTTCCACAAAGTCTGTACTGCCCTGTGTTGTACTTGTTTTTTTTACTTATTGATAACTTATGAATAAAGTATATTTTTGAAATAAAATCGTGAAGCACAATAACTACCAAAGACAAATGAAAACTCGATAATGGATTTAGATTATCCAGGATTTAAAAAAGCTTTTAGATTAATTGAAAGATTTATCAAATTGACAAACAATTCTGACCCATCACTGCTCTGGTTTAAAATCTGAAATCAAGGATTTCAAATACAGCAAGAGACTCAATTTCTTCTGCTTTTAAACAGCTATGTTAAAGTTGATATAACTGGGAATTCAATTTACAGGTCAGAGATATGCATACAACGTGTGGATTATATTCCTACCCACTGTTGGCACAATTCCAGATTAAGCATGTCTTTCAAATTTAGTTTGAAAAAGACGGGATCCAAGATGCTAAAAAGACTCAAAAGTCTGATCAGCCCCTCTCCAAACGAAAGGAGCTCTCAAGTATTACCATCCTTCAAACATCCTCAACAAATTTCCTCCAAATTTTAAAGAAAAAGGAAAGAAAATACAATCTTATTTCTAGTAGACAATTCCTTTTAAAATTTACTAGCAATAATTGAATTTAAAGTTAGGACACCCAATTATTAAAAACATTTGACTGCGATCCTAAAGTGAAGACTGTAAAGTTATGAGATGGCTCTCTCTCAGTTAAGGAGGTTATCGTTGCCTTATACCAATAGCCATACCTTCAACATAACTGATACTCAAGTAAACTAAGCAAAACCAAAACAATTCCACTGTGCACTTATGTTGTTCTTTGAGGTTGCATAGCTAATTTCTTCTGTAGAGGGGTGGTATCCCGATTGTTGTTAAGTTCCACTCCTGTAAGTTCCAAAGCCAAATTTGATAACTTTGTTGGTCATTAAGGAGAGAGTTCTAGGGAAATTTACATAATTGTTATTGTAACGGTCTGGACTTAAGTCTATGAAAGCTATGATAGTCAATTTCTCATTAACTGTGAATATGCATTTTAAGATTATGATGATTTCTTGCGTTGGGTTAGGTAATAAAAATCCTAGTTGACAGTAGTCTAGGATTATTAGAATAAATTTACCTTCAAATATTTTGCTACAGTCCCCTTCCAACCATTTGCAAAAACGGGTTGTTCCGTAGCTTTGGCAATCTCCCTCTCTCTCTCTATCAACAATCGTCTTATTGATGCTAAGACAGACAAGTCCCTACATGCAGTGTCCTGTGATCTCACAGTGTGAATGTTATTTCACCATTTAAAATAAAAACAAATTATTTCAAATATTTAACCTCTAACTTATTGGAAAGTAACTCAACCTTATAATCCCTTATTATGGCCATATTTATTTAATTCACAACAATGGGTATGCAACTTTATACAATGGAACAAAAGTGGATCAAACAGTCCACTAAATAAATTGATAAGTCTGACTCAAGATCAAGTTATTATTCATGATTGTAAGGTAATTATAAAACTTCAGTTTACATATCCATGTTCAGTTTGAATAATAATGCTCAGAAGACAAGATTTCCATTACATCAGCAGCAAAGATCACAATCCTTTAGTACAGAATCACATTCTTAAGTTAATGATGTTAAGAAATTTGTTTTCATGTGTTGCGGATACTTAAAAGTCAGCAGCCGCTGACTGCTGACAACATCCAGCAGAGTAGGACTTACCTCAAATTGTATTCTTCTAAGAATCTTATTGCAAGCTTTTCTTCCCAGTCCTGCAACATTAGCGAACATGTTCCTCTGGTGTTTCTCATCTCCAATTTGAGATCTTCTGAAGACGCCAGAGTCTACATATAGGTTTATGACATCCAGCACCCTCAAACATTTTTCCTAATCCCTCCATACATAAGCCACAATTTCTTACACATTAGCAGCTAAGATATATGAATATGCATACTCTGTTCCTTTGCCACTGATTCAATCTCCCTCCCCATACCTGCAGTACACACAAAACAAAACTGTTTTCAACCTTGGGGTGCTAACTGACCCTTAGCTGAGCTTCCAACCCTACAATCCTTCCAAAGACTCCAAGAGTCATCACCACGCCTGTCTCAATTCATCTGTTG